CATTGATAATGCGTTAGGGCTGTTACATTTAACAATGTGTCAAACGTTAAATCATATCAACTGCTTAATTGATCCACATTCTTCTCGTCAGAATGTACTGAGATTAGTTTTTTTTCTGAACAGATTAATCGTCGATCATTTCTTTCGTCATCTTGGAGAACGGGAACGAGCGATACCGTGATGAAATACATGACTCGGTTTCTTTGGAAGCCGCTGGAATGGCATTGCACATTCTCGTGGAATAATTTTGGCCACAGTTCATACCTTCTTTTATCGGCACTCGATCTGTTCAGCTCTGTCGAGGCTGCTCTTTTTCGATCCATAGCAGCCAAGTGAGTAGCGCTTATTCCAGCCGTTCCCTCACCACCACCTCTACATGAATGCTGTAAGTCATTCCTGCGATACACATCCGTTATGCTAGATGCCATGCTATCGCTAGCGGCTGTCACTGCGGCATTTGTTCGGAGTGCGATCTGAATAATACATAATGAATCGGAATGCAATGAACATTAGCTGAAGTACAATGAAGAGTGGGTTCAGGTTACTTTAATGAACTAGAACGAAACATTCGATGTGGAAAGTTCATACAGAATGGCGAAAAGAGTTGTAGAAGAAAGTGAGTTCGATTGTGAGTATGAGTAAGCAGTACAGTGAAAATTATGGATGAACGTGCAATGGATCTTCTGACTGGTTTTTGAGAGATGGAATATCTTTTCGATAGTTTTGAATGGTTTCAAATGGATGATAGGCCAACAATGCTTATATTAGCGCAATAAAATTAATTAATCATGTATTAATTGAACAACTCCTTATGAGCCCATCATAAGTTGCGATATCGTTTTATGAGAGAATCTCTTTCGATATCCACTCAAATCCTCTTATTACTATTCATGCATGTAGTCGTCACACCCATCATCTACGTCTCTCGTCAATAATTGTCTCTGTTGCGTTGCGTAAAAGCCTTTCACTATTGCATCTGTCTGATAAAAGTAATGAATATTATGCATGAGCTACCGTACCAT